ATTTAATAAATAGATTTTATTTAAACTGGGATGAGAGTGGAAAATAAACATGAAAGAAATCTTATCCCCAAAATGACCATATTATTCAAGATATGCTTTCTGCATAGCATGTATAAAGTAACAAAAAAACCTGGGAAGAAAAATGACATTCTGAAGTTTAACCACTTTACTATGTCCTACAAATCTCTATTCAAAAGTAGATAACTTAAAAATTAATTATTGGAAAATGATTTGTCTAATATCCAAATAAAAATTCAGGTTGCATTATATCTTATCAATTAAAAAAATTCATTTTGTGGCAAGGTGATTCTTGCAGTAAACACTTTCACTCATCTGCAGTCTATCATTGCCTTTGTAGAATATCACACAGAAACCAGAAACCTAATATTGGAGCAAAATAAAGTTTTCGTAGCTCTGAAATCAAGGGTATTCTATGGTGGTGGGAGGTAAGTTTGGAGGAAAATACTGGATATATTATGAAGGAGCTCTGTGCTTGGACAAGAAGTTTGGGAGTGATGAATGGTTTCAGGCAGTAAAGTAGCAGTCAAATTTATGTTTATGACCCGTCTCTGAAAGCAAGTTCGGAAGAATATAAAAAGGATGTCTTACGAATATGAAGCTTATACAGCAATTCAAACAGGAAATAATGAAAGGCCAGATCTATAAGCAGTAGTAGAAAAGATGGAGAAGGAATAGATTCAACTTTTTGATAATTTTGATAATTAGCTTTGATACTTTCCTTTCCTTCCATATCTTCAGAGATTTTTTTTTCTTTTTGCGCCATTTCAGTTGAGTTTTGTTAAAATAAACTTCAGTGAAAGTTTGATCAGGTGTGTGATGGTTGGGAGTGTAAGGGGAATGAGGAGGGGAGCAGATACATTTTCTAATGACAGAAGTGACAGACTTGATAGGGAAACTCTCTTGTGAATACCCAAGAGTCTGACCACTGACCTTCATCTAAGTAAGTAATAAAGGTGTGAAATAGGGCCAGGCATGATATCCTTAAGGAATTTGATATATCAGCGCATGCTCCCCTTGCCCCGTAGAGGACAACACAAGCATTGCTCACAAGAAGCCTCCTGTACACTCCAGATAAGCTAAATCCTTTCCTCTGTCTTCTCCATTTTGGAGGCATTTGCCAAGCTGCCCAGGAAAAAAATTTAACAAAGATAATATGCTTTGCATCTATCCTATGTCCCCTTTGGACAATCAGGCTAATTATAACTATTGATTCTCCAGTTCTACAACTCTGTTAGAAGAAAAAAAAATAGATTTGGCAGACATGCTTTTTTCTGTACTTTTTTTCAATTCCTCATTTTCTTTTCATTGATTTTTGCAAGGTGTTTAATATATACTATGAATGATTATACAGTTCACAAAGTTGTTCTTCTTCTTGTTTACTTGGAAATAATGCATGGTTGCCCATAGAATGTCTTGCTGTAACATAGAGCTAAATGAAATATTTCTCATTTTCCCTTTTTGCTTTCTCTCCTTTTCTCCATTCACCCCAGCCCAAATCATTTGTTTTCCGTGATGGCAGATTTCTTCCTTCCAGGCCTCTCTGGGCTACCCAGGAGACTCCTCAGAGCATGCTGGAGTTTCTTTTATTTATTTATTTAAAATTTTTTTTTATGTTTTATTTATTTCTGAGAGAGAGACAGCATGAGCAGGAGAGGGTCAGAGAGAGAGGGAGACACAGAATCTGAAGCAGGCTCCAGGCTCTGAGCTAGCTGTCAGCACAGAGCCTGACGCAGGGCTTGAACCCACAAACCATGAGATCATGACCTAAGCCAAAGTCGGATGCTCAAGCGACTGAGTCACCCAAGTACCCCTGGAGTTTCTTTTAAAAGGCTTGTCTCTTCTCTTGTTGAGGGAGCTGAAACAAGATGGTATCAGCTGGCTGACGGAATACAAAAGAGAAGCCTCCCAATGCTTTCTTGCAATGATCTGGGTGAATACCTGTCTGAAAAGCCGTAAACTAGTGACATACCTCTCTGAATCTAGGTCCTGTCTTTCTGTCATTTCTCCACCCTCAAGCCTTTGGGAGTTTATTCCCATGATATAAGAAATTCCAAATTGCAAACTCATCTGGTTAGCAGTGAATTGGTCATGTATAGAATTGATACTGAATTTGACACTGAAGAATCAACGTAGGCTGCTGCAAGACCTCAGCTTAGAACTACATAGCTTTCTACACATGGTAGGAAGCACAAAAATGGTGTACGGTTAATCAAATGAATACAATAAATCAGTGGATTTAAGCCAGGTCCACATTTATTCTGGGATCAAATTGTTCTTTTTTTATCTTTTTATTGGAGTTTAAACATTCTTAGATATAACCTGATGGTAACACAGCAAAAAGACAGGAGTTTATGAGAAAGTACCCTCAAGAATAGGGTAAATAGGGTACATAGGAAAAATAGGGGCGCCTGGGTGGCTCAGTCAGTTGGGTGGCCAACTTCGGCTCAGGTCATGATCTCATGGTTCGTGGGTTTGAGCCCTGCATCAGGCTCTGTGCTGACAACTAGCTCAGAGCCTGGAGCCTGNCCCCCCCCCCCCCCCCCCCCCCCCCCCCCCCCCCCGCTCATGCTGTCTCTCTCTCTCAGAAAAAAAAAGTAAAAGAATGGGAAAAATATTTAGAAGTGATGGGTAAAACTAGTTGTAGCAAGCAAACACCTTAGTCCCCAGACACAAGTACCAGTTAAATTCTAACTGGATCAGAACCGCCTTTGACCAGGGCAAGGGCAGTCCCAGATCTGGGCCCTATTTTTCAGAGAGCCCTGTATGACACAAACACAGAAGTTCATTGAATGTGAAGCGCACTGGCCATCTGTCAGACGGCACCTGGCACTTGTGACCTGTAACCTTAAACATCTGCTCTTGTGACTAATGTAACTTAGGCTCCAAGGAAATGGATATTTCTCCTACATCTCCTGCCCCATGACCTTGAAATGATAGGTGACTGCATATCAATGTCACGGAGGTCTGTGGCGTGTACAACTGCTGACATCAGATACAAACGATGTCTTGGAATGCATGAAGCGTCTGAGTGGACAAATCTCAGGTGGGAGGCCCAGTGAGTTTTAACAAACTGAGCAATACCTATGTAGTCAGTTCCTTCCAATCACCAGAACTGCCAAGAGGAGCTGCTCTCCTAACTTCTAAAACGGTAACTGTTGCTATCTAATACTTTGTGTAAATAGAATCACATACAGTACTCTTTTGTTCAATATTTCAAAATCCATTTATGCTGATGTCATTAGTTTGCAATCTCAAGGGCTTTCCTCCTTGTAATCTGAAACTGGACCCCCAGAACACACAGGGCAAGGAGTGACTGAAGAAAGAGGCAGACCATCCTCCACTGGAAGGTGGCAGGTTTATTACAGCAAAGGAACTTACATATACCTTAGGTGTCTGCAAGATGACTGGTTTCTGCATTCACCAGCCAAATCTTCAAAGTTGACCCACTGGTCTTAACTGGGTTGAGTCATGTATACCGTCCACATGGTCTCAACAACACATCACTATGTCAAGGCTATATCCATGGGGCAGCTTCTGGGAGTAGGGGAGGCAAGTTCACATTCCAGGAAGGAGTGGGGAGAGGAACTGCCCCTTGCCTGGGTTTATCTTACCGTCAATCAGCAATCAATGACCTCCCCCAACAGATGCGTATAGTTAGCATTTGTTCATTGCTATACAGTATTTTATTGCATTAAAACATCAAAATATATTTATCCTGTTTATTGTAGATGGACATTTGTGTTGTTTCCAGTTTGGAAACAGTGTATAGTGCTCCTATGCATACTCATGTTCATATCTACTGGCAAATCTATATACTTATTTCTTTTGGGTATATACCAAGGAGTGGAATTGTTGAGTAATAGGTATGCATAGGTTTTGTTTCAGTTTCCAAAGTGGTTGTATTAATTTATTACCCCTGCCCCCAAGCACTGTATAGGAGCTGTAGTTACCCTTCATCCTTGCTAACTCCTGCTATTTTCTGCTATTTTCATGGTAATCATTCTTGTAGGGGTATGGTAGTGTCACCTTATGGTTTTAATTCAATCTTATGTGCAGAAAATCCTAAATAATCCACCTAGAACTAGAACTAAACCTAGAACTAATAAATGAACTAATCTAGAAAAACCCTAGAACAAATAAATGAACTTAGTAAGGTTGCAGGATACAAGATCAATAAGCAAAAATCCGTTTTTCTATATATATTAGAAGTGAATAGCCCAAAATTAAAGTTAAAAACTACCATTTATAATAGTTTCCATGAACACAAATTACTTTGAAATAAATCTGACAAAGGATTTATGTATAAAGAGGACATATGTATTTTAAAATCAACTTCTTAATTTTCATACACACACACACACACACACACACACACACACACACACATACATATACAAACCCTAATAAAATTTTAACCTAGATTGACTTAAATCTATCAACTTGGGGGGAATTGACTTTGCAATATTGACTTTTATTTCTGTGAAAATGGTGTAACTCTTCACCTATTTTAGTATTCTTTAATTTCTCTGTTATATTTTCTATCTCTCATTGAAGGGTTTCTATAGATATTTAATTAGATTTATTTCTAGTATTTGATTTTAGAACAGCTTTATTGAGAAATAATGGTATATAATAAATAGCACATGCTCAAAGTGAATGATTGAATGAGTTTGGCAATTGTGTAAATCCACTCAACCATCACCACAATCAAGATAATGAACATATCCATCACAACTAAAAGTTTTCTTGAACCGCTTATAATCCTTTCCTCCTAATGCTCCCTGCTTTTTTCTACCACTTAACCTGAAAAACTGATCTGCTTTGTGTCATTATAAATTAATTTATATATATTAGAAATTTATATAAATAATACAGATTATATTATTTTGCCTTACTTTTTTCACTTAGGATAAACATTTTGCGATTCATCCATTTTAATGTATTCACATATCAATAGTGTATTCTTTTTGAATCTCCAGTAGTGGATATGGCACAACTTATCCCTTCACCTGCTGATGGACATTTGGATTATTTCCAGCGATTGGCTACGGTTGCTCTGAACATTCATGTACAAGTCTTTGTAAGTACGAAGGCTTTCTTTTTCCTTGAATGTATACTCTAGTGTGGTATGGCTAGATTATACCATAGGTATGAGTTTACTAGTTAAAGAGACTGCCAATCTGCCTTCCAAAGTGGTTGTATTCTTTTAATTTAAATTTTAGTTACCATAGAGTGCAATATTGGTTTCAGAAGTAGAATTGAGTGATCCATCACTTACATACAACACCCAGTGCTCATCCCAGCTAGTGCCCTCTTTCATGCCCATCATCCATCTAGCCCATCTCCTACCCACCTCCCTCCATCAACCCTCAGTTTGTTCTCTATAGTTAAGAGTCTAATGGTTTGTTTCCCTCTCTTCTCTTTTTTTTATATTATCACTTCCAGGGTATCAGAGTCCCAGTTCCTCTCCAGTGTAGTTAACATTTGATATGATCAGCCTTTTTATGCATCAGTATAATTGGTGTATGGGCATGTCATTAAATCTCATCTTTATCTTCATTTTTATGACTAATGATGATATTGACTTATTTGTCATTGAAAATCTTCTTGGAAAATATCTGGTTAAATGTTTTGCATATGTTCACAAGCAGTTTTTTTTTTATGATTGACCTTTGAGAGTTCTAAATATATTTTGATTTTTTTTATCAGATGTATGATCTGTAAATATTTCTTACTCTCTGGTTTGTCTTCTCATTCTTTTAACAGTGTCTTTCGAAGAGCAGAAAATTTTAACTTTGGTAAAGTTCATCTTGTCATTTTTTCCCTATATGGATTATCTTTTTAAGGTCATTTCTAATTACCCTTTGCCTAACATAAAGATCACAAAAATTTTCAGTTATGTTTTCCTTTATAAGTTTTATAGTTCTAGACTTTATATTTAAAGCTGTGATCCATCTATTTTGAGTTAATTTTGATATGTGATGTGAGATATAAATAAAATTTACTCTTTTGGAGATGAATATCCAATTATTTCATCATTTCCCAATGAACTAAGTTTGTATCTTTGCCAAAATTAGCTGTCCATATATGAGCAGACACTCTGTTTTTGGACACTCTATGATGTCTCAGAAGTCTATTTGTCTATCCTGATGCCAATATCAAATTCTCGATTATTGTAGTTTTGTAATAAGTCCTCAGATCAGGTAGCATTAGTTTCCCAACTTTGTTCTTTTTAAAAGTTGTTTTGGCTATTTTAGGTCCTTTGCATTTCTGTATACTTTAGAAGTAGCATGCCATTTTCTACCAAAGTGTCTTTTTGGATTTTTCCTGAAATACATTTGGATCTATAGATCTATTTAAGCCTATAGATTAATTCTTAACAATATTCTTTCAACCCAAGAAAATGGTACATATCTCTATCTTATTTAATTTCTCTCAACAATATGTTATTAAAGTCTTCTGTATCATTACTGATTTTCTGTTAGTTTTCTATCAATTACTGATTGGAGAATATTGAAATATTTGACTACAATTGTGGATTTATCTAATTTTTCTTGCAGTTCTGTCAGTTTTGTTTTGTGTATGTTAAATTCTGTTAATGGATGTAAGCATGTCAGTATTTTTATATAATCCTAATGAATTCACTCTTTTTTTTTTTCTAGGAGAGAGAGAGACAGCGTGAGCAGGGGAGAGTCAGAGAGAGAGGGAGATACAGACTCTGAAATAGGCTCCAGGCTCTGAGCTGGCAGTCGGCACAGAGCCCGACTCGGGGCTCGAACCCACGAACCGCGAGATCATGACCTAAGCGCAAGTTGGACGCTTAACCGACTAAGCCACCCAGGCGCCCCCTTAATGAGTTCACTCTTATCATTAATAAACGACTCCATCCTTGTTCATATTCTTTGTTCCAAAATCTACATTGCCTGATACTAATATGCCACTTCAGTTTTATTTTGATTACTGTTATTAAAATATATATTGTGTCATCCTTTTACTTTTGACCTATTTGTATCTCTAAGTTGAATATGTGTTTCTTTTGGGGAGCATGTAGTTGGATTTTACTTTTTGATATCTTACTTCTAACAACCTGTGACTTGAAAAAAGTATGTCTAAATCATTTATATTTTATGGAATTGTTGAGATGACTAAGTCTAAATTTATCAGCTTTCTGTTTGTTGTGTTGTTGTATCATTTGTTTTTTGTTCCTTTTTTCTCCTGTTTTGCTTCCTTCTTTTAGACTGACTTTTTTTTCTAATTCTATTTTATCTTCTTGGATTATTAGCACAACCATTTATTTTGCTATTTAGTGGTTGTTTTTGAGATTATTTACATTTCTTCCTTATCACAGACTACCTTCAAATGATATTATAACACTTCAAATATATTCACATAACTCAACATATTCACATATTGTGATGTTCTTGTGAATATTATACCTCGATTTTTTCTTTCCTGGCTTTTGTGTTATTGCTATATACTTTACTTCTGAATTGTTATAAAACTCACACTACATTATTCTTATTATTTGGTTACACAATCAATTATATTTTAAAGATATTTAAATGGTAAGAAAAGATTTGTATATTTACTGATATAAGTACTTTCTTTGCTCTTCTTTTCTTTCATATGAATCCACATTTTCATTTGGTATCATTTCCCACCTTCTAGGAAGACTTCTTTTATCATTTTTTATGATACAGATCTACAAATGATGAAATTCTTTCATCTTTATATATATGAAAAAAAAAAACCTTCATTTTTGCTTTTACTTTCGAAAGCAATTTTCAGTAGGCATGGGATTTTAGGTCATCTCCTCTCCTTTACTTATTTGAAAATGTTGCTTTGCTGTGTTCAAACAGATTCTTTTTCAAATAAGAAATCTGCTTCCATTCTTACCTTTATTTCCTATGTACTGTGTCTTTTTCTCTGGCTGGTTTTAAGATTTTATCACTACATTCTAGCAATTTGATTGTGACATGAGTTCCTGTAGTTTTCTTTATATTTTGTGTGCTTGGAGTTGTATTTTTTTTTAGATATACAAGTTTATAGTTCTCATCAGACTGGAAAATATATCAACCATTTTTTGTTCAAATATTTTTCTGCCTTCCTCTAAAACATCTACCTCCTCATTTATTTTGGAAATTCTAATTACATGTATATTTGACACCTTAAAGTTGTCAGTTTTGGCTGCATCAAACCCGCAAGTGTTCTGGAGAAAAATGGCTGCAGATCTGTCAGCTACTTCTCCAGGATTCTTACTTTTCCAGAATTTTACCCTCTGTAGTTTTTTTGTTTTGTTTTGTTTTGGTTTGGTTTTGCTTCTACAGCTCTCTGATGTCTTTAAACAGAAGCTCTTTTTATTTTATCTGACGTTTCTATTGGACTTGGTCAGACACAAACTATAGCATCTGTATTAGCATTCTCCAGAGATCCTTTTTTATATTTTATATTTATCTATCTTTCTATTTAGAGATTATGAAGAATTGGCTCATGATTACGGAGGCTGAGAAATCCTACAATCTGCAATTTGCAAGCTGGAGACCCAGGAAAGCTAGTGGTATAATCCAGTACAAATCCAAAGGCAGAGGAGTCAATGATGTAAATTCTAGGCTAAGGTCAGGAGAACTATGTCCCAGTTCAAGCAGGGAAGCAGGGAGAGAATGAATCCTCCCTTCTATTGATTTTTGTTCTATTTAGACCTCAGTGAATTGGATGATGCCCACTTCATTGGGGAGGTCAATCCAGTTTACTGAGTCTACCAATTCAAATGGTAATCTCATGGGGTGCCTGGGTGGCTTAGTTGGTTAAGCGTCCGACTTTCGCTTAGGTCATGATCTCACGGTTCGTGGGTTTGAGCCCCGCATCGGGCTCTGTGCTGACTGCCAGCTCAGAGCCTGGAGCCTGTTTCAGAGTCTGTGACTCCCTCTCTCTCTGACCCTCCCCTGCTCACGCTGTCTCTCTCTCTCCGAGAAATAAATAAAACATTTAAGAAAAAAAAAAAACAAATGGTAATCTCATTTGAAAACACTCTCACTGACACACCCAGAAATGTTTAATGTAGGCACCCATGGTCTGGGCAGGTTGACACATAAAATTAACCATTACAGCCTCCTATTCAGAAAGGTAATTGAATTAGCTTGATATTTATAATAGTTAAATATGGAGGCTAAAGAAAATCTTGCAGTATAAAAATTCACATTGAAATTAAATTTGTATATATGCAATTCTCTTAAAGCATTAACTAGATCTGTGCAATTTACATTAGTGTTTACATTACAGTCGAAAACTAGTTAATACATTTATAGACAGCAAATATCACGATCTTAGTAATAGTGACTTTTGTGTAAAGTTAAAATATTTTGTAATGTTCTATGTACAAGGACAATTTATTGTGTGTCTCCATTACGATGTTTGAATCTATTATGAAAAATTCATTACTTCTGAATATGACTACTATTTTAAGAATTTTATCGACAAGTTTGGTTATTACTGTCTCAGCATAGTTTCTTCAAACTGAATTAATAAAAACTCATTTAATAATTAAATGGCTAAAAACCATTGTCTAATTTGGTGTTAAGGTATACAAAATGATAACTTTATGTATATTTTGAATTTTTAAAAATTTAAAATACAATATTTCAAGATAGGAAAATAGGGGATATTTTACTTGGAAGTTTTATCTCAATTAATAATTTATGTATATTAATGATACGGTATATTAACATCCATTTGTACCCTTGCTCCAGGTCATGCAAATAGGCTCAGACCTAACAATTACATTTGTGTTAAAGACATTTTGAAATTTTTTTGTCTGTGTAGACTTGTAGTATTATGTTTTTACAATTAAAACAAAATAAAATAAAATTCTTTTTGCTTTTACCAACTGTTATTTCATATTATCCTCTTATATCAATTGGGGTTCAATCCTAGAAGCAAAATCACTATGAATATTATGAAATAAGAAACTTATTGTATAAAATAAACCTCATACCATTGTCAGAGGAATTAGAAAGCAAAGATCTGAAAGAATTGGAGAAAAGTCCCTAATTAATATGGTGTTGATGAGTGATCGGGA